TTTTTTTTGCTGATTAGAATCCCTTTTCTGGCGCATTGCGTAACTAGGTTGGAAGATAGATAGATAGATACATATATAGATACATAGATAAATATATAGACAGTTACATAGATAGTTACATAGATAGATACATATGCATATATCGTCATATACATATATATATAGAGAGAGAGAGAGTGGCATTGGTTGATTTGCTTTCTTTGGTGGTATTTTTGTGCATAGGGTTTGTGGTGTGTAGCGGTCCAGTTTTTGGGCTTGATCGGTAATGTCTCGCCCTAAATCAGGACCGCATAATTTTTTGTAAGAGATGTCAGGCCCGATTTTTTGACACCGAAATATAAGGAACGCCAGGCCCGATTCCCGGTTGTTTTCCAAAAGAAAAAAAAAAAAGAACGTTGTTTGTATTATTATTATGCACAACATGTTGTACGCGTGTTTTTGGGTTCATACATGTACGCCGGAATATGTACGCGTAGAGAGACATTGGTTGATTTGCAGCATTTGCTTTCTTCTGTGGTATTTTTGTGCATAGGGTTTGTGGTGTGTAGCGATCCAGTTTTTGGGCTTGACCAGTGATGTCTCTCCCTAAATCAGGACCGCAAATTTTTTTGTAAGGGATGTCGAGTTTGTTTCATGGCACCAAAATATAAGGGACGTCGGGCCTGGTTCCCAATTGTTTTCCAAAAAAGAAAAAAAAAAGTTGTTTGTATTATTATTCTGCACAACATACGTTTTTTCATATTTTTTAGATTTTTTTTTTTTTTTTTTTTTTTACATACATGTACACGCGCTTTTGGGTTCGTACGAGTACGCGGGAATACGTACGCATAAAGCACTGCGTACGCGTACAGGGTGCTACCCACGTGCAGGATTAGCTACCACGAAGGGGAAGAAAGCAAACTAATAGAAAAGGTAAGAACAGGCTATGGGATCTATTTTGACCTCTGCCACTTCACCCTCTTCATTCGGCCTTTACTCACAATCGCGATCTTCTCTTAGCCAATGTGTGTTTTTTCTGAAGTCATTGTCATTTTGTTAACTGGGTGAGGAGAGATGAGTTGATGGGAGACTTTTGTGTTGATGTTCTGTTTACAATTGGTTCTTGACAAATGATGGGAATAAATAGAGGTAGAGGTAACCATTCCGCCTTCGCCAACTGATTGATTATGGTGAGAGCTCAACTCTCTCGTTTCATGGCAGAGTTAAGATGTAACCAGATAAGGCAAGTCTTACTATGGTCCCTTATCGTGTGAAGGGAATTTATGTTTTCTCTTTTTTTTTCCTGATAGGGATTTGACAACGACTTTTGTGATTACTCGCCTAGATTCTGACAAAGTTTTCAACTATGATCGACCTTGTGATGGACCCGCCGGGATGGCGGTCCGTCCTCAACACGCGCATACTCCAAACTGTGCAAATGAAGAATGACCCGAAAAACAAATCGCGGTTGGGGTATACCCCTAACGGACTAACTGAACTGGATTGGACTACACTGGTACCGACAGTGGTACCGGGCAGGACTGGAGTGGACTGGACTGAGTACACGGCCTGGTCCCACAGACCGAACAAGCAAAATAGCCAGATAGCCCTGACTTTAGAAAATGGCAGCCAGAGGTACTTTGCGTGATCCTCAGACTTGTAGTGGATCACAAGAGCCATAAACACGCTTCCACAAAAAAAGTTGAGAAATCTAGGATGCAGAGCAAGCTCTATGCGGAGTCCATGCGATGCAGCCTAAACTACATAATGTCATAGCAAAAGCAAATGTCAGATATACACATCCTAGTTAACAGCAGAAAATTAAATGTAGCAGGGTACAAGCCTAAAGTCCTAGAGGTGATTGTCTCAATACTGAAAGGAAAAGGTAGTAATATATCACAAGATAACGTCGTGTCGCTGAACCACTAAGAGTGGGATGGTCTTAGAGGGGGTGAATGCAGCGTAAGAATCGAAACTCAAGACACACATGAAGATGGGATGGTTCATCAGGCTCAGGGCAAGGGAGTGGTAGTGAAACAAAACCAATGTCCCTAACAGATAAACCATCAAGTCGAGTAATGTTTGAGAAAAGGGTGACACCATGCAAGGTTGAGCCTGAAAGGGGAGTCTGGAATAGGGTGGAGATATACCTAGCTAAAGACATGCAATGGTCGGCATTAGGGTGATGAGGGTAGTGGGTGAGGGAAACATGCACACAATTCATTGATTAGCGAGGAAGCTAGATCTGGGAGCAGGGAAGCTATGCGATACCAAGAGAGAACCAACTATTAAGTGAGAACCAGCATGTAACACATACAAAGGAATGCACAAGGTAGGGTGGAGGTGTGAAGTAGTCACGTCGAAAGTATTAAAGTCGATAAGGTATTTGAATTCATCGAAGTGGTCGATAACGTCGATGAAGTAGGAGTCGACTCGATGTTGATGCAGAATCGCAAAACGTTGACATCCGGAAGAAGTTGATGGTGGAGTAAATGATAGTGTGAGTCAGTGGTAGGAGATGGGAAAGTGATGAGAGTGTCAGTTGTCGAGGGTGTCGATGAGTGCTCGTGGACACGTGGAGATGTCCATCTGCTTTTGAAGAACGG